TTCCGAATGCCGAATAATACCGAGTTCACACCCAGATAACTCGAAAATCGCGATACCGAATACGTTTGATCTTTAAGACCTACTTTGCTTAATTTTAAAATAATAGCCAGTTTTCGTCGTTTGTTATGCTCTGTTAATTCTACATCCAAGCTTTCTTTCTTCACACGACAGTGAACTTATTTTAAACTTTGTAAAAAGATATTGTTAGAAAAATGTAACGATAATTATCTCTCGTTTATAATTGCATTTACGCAGCGCGAATCCAAAACAATATATTGTAAAGGAAAAGAATCTCTTGAATTAATAATTTTTTACATTTATATGAATGTTGTTCTCTGCAGTTATTCTGAATTTCAGCCATATTGCAAAATTTTTAAATAAATTAATATAAATGTTTGTTATGCGCATAAATTAAACAAGTTGAAATGGCCACTAGCTTTATTAATGTTAATAATTCGCTGTTTTCTATTTGAAAACGTATATAGGACCGTTGTAAATTCTCCGTTTTTCACGACTGCGTCGTGTTCATCTCGCCGGCTATCCCGTCTCACTCCGTTTCTTCACGTCGCGCTGCATCCGGTTTTCTCCCGGTTCTCTCTCTCCGGTCGCTTTAATTGCGCGTCTTCCTTCTTTCACTCAATTATCCTCCTCAAATCAACGCGGCTGGCCGTGTCGCACGTGGAGCAGGAGCTTAAACAATGTTCTTCAAAACTAGGTGAACCACTTTTACGCCGCGCCGCGATCGAATCGCGCTGGGTCTTTCCGGCTGTTCGCCCGCGCGGATTATTCCGTCGCGGAACTGCACGGCGGATTGTAGAATAACCGTGGAAAAACACGGTGGAATATACAATGAATATAAAACGATAATTACGGAATATAAGAAAGTTAGTTTCCGTTTTTTTTTATATATATAATGCGATTGGAGCGTCGTTCGCGCGGGAATTATTTCATCGCGGATATAAAACGGTGGAATGCAAAACAACAACAGAGTGTAGACAAATGACGGAATATAGAAAAGAACCACTTTTACGCGGCTCGATGAAAACGTGGCGGATCTTTACGGCTGCTCGCTCATACAAATTACTCTAGCGCGAATAAAGCGATGAAATATTAGAAGAGGTTTAAAAATTTTCTTGCAAATAATGGGGTATTATTATTCTTTTCGAAAATTCATGAAAGTATGAAGTATGTAGGTTTTTAAAAAGTCTTTCTAAACTTTCGTATATTTTTTAATATAAAAAATTCATATTTATTAATGAAGGAAAGTAAAAAGTTGCCGCACTATAAAAAGTTGCCTCTGATTCCCGGCCATATTTATTTTTGCTTTATAAAAAGCATGCGGATTTTAAAAGCACACAATTATTAAGAGATCCAGCTGCTACGTCTGAAGGACGTAAGAAGTATGACGCTGCATCTGAATATATTAAGTGCTCTCATCCATCTTTCTCTTATTCTTAAAACTATCTTTTCCTCAACTATATTTACGGCATATGAAGCAAAGTTTAAGTGGAAAATATAGAAATTCCAGTATTATCAGTTTAACGATACGTTTGCAAGTTTTTTTCCTTTTTCGAATTTACAAACACTCAAAAAAATGATCTTGCAATAATAGCTAAAATTTTCTAGGTGTAAAAAATTAACTAAAACAGATAAATGATTAGCAACTGTTGTGATATTGCATATGTAATTACTTAATCAGTTTAGATGACAGAAACAGAATATATATCTGTATTGTTTGTGAACTTTAAAAAGAAAGTTTCTCTAAAGCGCCTATCTATATAAGATCAATCACGTGTTAGATCATGCAATGAATAACATTTAGCAATGGTACCTAAATTTTTCAGAAGCTATTGCTAGAACATTACTGCTATAAATTCTATATGTGACAAACAATGTTTTCACAGATACGAAAAATAGCGATACATTCTTGCTGCGATATCTAGAAATCTAACTACATCAGCGAAATATTTTTTTGAGTGAAGTTAGATAACTCGTACAATTACGATATGATAGACGGATTAGATAGATTAGTAGAGGAACAAAGAAAACCCCAAGAAATAAACGCGCGACGAACGATTATCATCATTTCTTTCTGTTATCACGAATTATCAGCGCGTCTTCGCACTTGAGGTAACCCAATTTCGTATCAACGTGCGCACATATCTGTTACGCGATTCGCGTGTCTATGTGCCGCGCGACACGCACGCATAAGCTCGTACAGGCACAAGGCAATTGGAACATTCCAATTTCACGATAGATTTCAAAACGAATCGAAGTTTCTCCGAGTCCGAGAGCGTTGTATGTTGTTACTTTGAAAATGTATAAAGTGCTAGAAAAAAATTCTGATAGTTTCGCTCCAATTCTGAAAATTTCCTAAATTAGGATATAATTAAAAATTTTTTTTAAATTAGAACATTGCGAATTTTTCTTTAACAATTTCATGTTTGTTGGGAAGAAAATGCTGGTATGTTTCACAAAATTAAAGGGCGACGCAAAAATAGCTTTTCAAACTACGCATTTGTTTGTCTCTTAAATCTTAATTAAATTGCAAATTTAAACTCGTCGATTAATTTTAATTGTAGTTCATTTATCTTTCTATTACTCTGTAGAGATGGAATATGTGCAAGAAGGGAAATAGGATTAACACATAATTGAATCATGATTAAAATCTGCAGAAAGTAGGTAGAAGAAATATTTGACGCATCGTTAAAATTAATTAATGTTGAAAGAATCGACTCTTTAGACCGACATCATCACGATCGGCTAACTTTTAATCCTAGTTTAATTAATTCTTTGTTTCTTTCTTCGAAGCACAACTGGCGAAAGACAGAAAGTTAATTAAACTAGAATTTGATCTAACCGATATATATATGTTGTGACTTTTGAAAATTTATTATACGTAAAAGTGTACGTTCAACCTTTCTGTCGAAACTTAACGAACTCCCAAAAATAGGATGATTAATGTGCCGAAGAATGTGAGGCGCTAATGTGTTTGCGAATGTCCGATATTAGTCTGTGATCGGTATTCGCCGGCGCGATTTCTCGTAATAATCGATCGCACAGGTGGACTAATACGCTCTCATACATACACCGCGAGTACAGATAGAGGCCGATGAAGTAAGTGCGTCAGGTGCGCTCACATACATTCACAGCCGTGCGCTACCTGCGAGCGCTCGCAGGTGCGTTCATATTGAGGGCCCTTGAAGGATAGCCGGAGAGAAACGGCAGATGGTACGAGCGTGTCGACCAGCGGGATATAAAGGGGTGATGAAGGGTGAAAGGCGGACGGAGCAAAGTTTGGAAGACGGAAAGTTGGCCGGGAGAAAACAAAGAAAGAACGAGGGATATTTATTTACGCTTTATATTTCTTTATTTTTTATATATATATAATAAAATGTTAAATAAAAATCAGCTAATGTGTTGTAAAGTGGTCCACACGGAGAACGTCGGTTCTTGATTAATCGTTACTGTTGTTTTGCATTCTCACACAATTACGAGTTGTAAATAGAGAGAGAGAGAGAGAGAGAGAGAGAGAGAGAGAGAGAGAGAAGGAACTGAAAGATGAAGATCGTCGGAGATATGCGATGACAGAAAGTTTTCAGAGAATTTGAGAGAGGCGAGAGTCGAGAGTTTAGAATTGAGAATTAACAGTTAGGAATTAAAGACTGAAAACTGCTAGCCGAGTATTTACATATTTACGTGCAGAATTACATTGAAACGACTGCGCGCGAGAACGACTTGAAATTTAGACAATCAAGCACCTTCGCGAGGACCGGATTTTCATAAGCTTCTCGCGCGAGATTCGTAATAGCGGTATCAATCGGATCCTGTATCGAATCAAATTGGCGTAGATAACAGGAGTGAAGTGTCGCGAAGAGTTTTTCTAGGCGCACTTTGAACGAGCGAGCGGATGAAAGGCAACGATGAGGCGTCGGAAACGAGCGCAAGTAGAGGAAGGAGGAGGAGGAGAGCCGGGCGAGAGGCAGCGTGAGAGAGAGAAGGCGGCGGAACGTGCGAGCTTAAAGTTTCCCCGTTATCGGCCGCACGTCTAAGCAACTGATAAAAGCCCGTGTTCATACGGACAGATAACGGGCGGAATGGCCCGGTATAAAGAGTCACATAGATAGAGGCAGATAAAGCACGGTCCACGGAACAGGTGAATGTCGCGACGGGGGCAGACCAACGCCCGTTCGTCATCTTCGCGCGGTGTGTGTGTGCGCGCCGATTCGCTCGCGATTCTTCCTCTTTTCTCGCCCGATCGTCGTTGTTGTCGCACTTTTTCCGTTCGGAGTTCGCGAGTACGCGAAAGTGCTCTTCCAGTTTTCTTGTGTTCTTACGCGCCGCGCTTCCGGAAGTAACGTCTCCGCCGTTCCGCGCGAACCGAACGCGGCCCTTCTTCTTCCCGCTCCTCCCCCTTTCTTCCCTTCGTCGCTTCCCTCATCCCTGCGCACTATCTCCCCGTATATCTCTTTTTTCCCTATTCCTCTCTCGTCTTGTCCCTCCCGTCTCTCTTTCTCTCTCTCTCTCTTTCCTATCCGTTTCCCGCGCGCTTTGCCACCGTCGAGCGGTGTGTAGAAAACCTTTCCTACCTACTTCTCTCGCCATCTCTGTCGCACGTGCGGACACCGTCCCCCCATTCCCCTGCCCTCCCTCCCACCCCCCTTCTCCTCCGTCCGGTACGTAAAACCTCTTGGAGATATCTTCTCCTGGCGGCCGTGGCGGAAAAAGAAACCCAATATTTCATGGAGACAGATCGTTATTGGGGCGTGCACTACAGGTACTGTCCCGTTCTCCGCGGATCGATCTGTGGCAGGGGAAAGGGTACGACGAGGATGACTATTGCGGATGGTGGAAACGGGGAAGGGGGCCCTCCCGTCGTCTCTTAGGGTCGTCTTCGCCGTCGTCATCCTTATCGATGACTTTTCGATGAATCCCGCCGGAGGAAAAGCCGCACGGAAAAAAACACTCTAAATCGATCTCTTCGTCTCTCTCTGTTGCAGCGGCGGCATGGCCGGGCAGCACTACTGCCTGCGCTGGAACAACTACCAGTCGAACATGACGTCGGTGTTCCACCAGCTCCTGCAGAACGAGGCGTTCGTCGACGTCACCCTGGCATGCAACGAGGCCTCATTAAAGGCGCACAAGGTAGGCCGGTATTACGCGAGGCGCACGGGGAGAAAGAAAGAGAAAGAGAGATCGCGGTCGCGCGACCGCGATTAAACGTTGCGCGTGGAATCGAACGTCAATTCTCAATCCGAAATCGAAATCAAGAATTACGACTCTTGTGATTATTCTCAGTGCGCCTCGCGTAACAATTAGATATAATAAATAGTAAGACGTAAAGAAATTAAGAAAATTCTACATTAAATTCTAGAGAGAAAGAAATTGATTCTATAGAAGTGTTAAAATGTATCGTAGATAATTTATAATTGTTAATAGAGGCCTATTTTTTTATCACACGAAGAATTTATCAAATGGTACAAATTTAACAAAACAAAAATTATGGTAAAATAGTTTTGCACAAGTAATATCACGAAAGAAATTTATTTTTCTTAATTCTTGATACCGAAGATTCTCGAATTTTTTCTTCTTTCTTTTTTTGCTCGCAGCGTCTGTTTAAAGTGACGCCTATGTTTGTCATAATTTAATTACGGTTCTGCGTCGATCATTCAATTTTCGTGCGATTTAGGATGCGTAGCGGATAATTGCGCGCTTTGATCCAATATTGATGTGCAATTAGCTCGTTGTTTCAATGATCGGATAGCTTAAAATTCCTGATCTTTGATAAGGATCAAAATATCAATATTTTTCTTCGGAGACAGCTGTCTGAAAAATACTTTGCAACCAAGATATAAGTTTAATACGTATATTTGTATAAAAATGTGACAGTTTTTTTACAACATTCGGTAAATTCGCGTATCAGAATTAAGATAATAATAACAGAATAATTCGCCATATCAGAAATGTCGATATATCTCTAATTACGTTCCGCTCTTTTGTGTGTGTGCGTGTGTGTGTGTGTGCAGGTAGTACTGTCGGCATGCAGCTCCTACTTTCAAAACCTCCTGCTGTCAAATCCCTGCAAACACCCGACGATCATCATGCCGCAAGATGTGTGCTTCAACGACTTGAAGTTCATCATCGAGTTTGTCTACCGTGGCGAGATCGACGTCTCACAAGCGGAGCTGCAGGTGAGTGCACGAGAATAAGGTCGATCTTTCGCCGCGATCGCGCCGATCATCGCGACGTCGCCAACGATTTCTCCCTTAATACATTCGAAAAAGCATATGCAAATGTAACATAAAAGCAGAAAACTTTGCTCCAAACGATACTGCTGATTGACGATGCTGCGTGCAATGTCGTTCGAGTCAAGTCTTTGCAACATCGTAGTTACTTTTCGTAATCATTCAAAAGCGTTGGCGCGATGATGACAGCTGTGATTAGCGTTGATAGATCGAGCAATTATATAGCGAAATAATAACTGCGACTCTGATGAAACTTCTGCGATTAACGTTTAAAACCTCCCTGTGTCTTTAAAAGTCCAGAAATGTCCGAAATGTCGCATGCGTTACGATATTAAATAATGATGAACGCAATCGCTCCGTTTTATCTTATCGCTTACGTGCTATTACGGCGCACTACGAGTTGCACATTACGCGTATTATTGCGCCAGAGATCTTTCGCCAAATTGATAACGATGTCGCCGTTTAGAACTCATGCAAGTTTTATCACTCGCTTGTCTATTTCGAAAGCTCAAAGCAGCACTTTATATTGATATCTGGTGTATAAATATCTTATGAATCGATCATTTTTTAAATCATAAATATCTCCTTCCAAGAATATTTTTTATGCTCAATTCTGTAAAGTCTTCATTAAAATAGATGTTTACAACGCGTAACTGTCTTTAAAAGGTCGTCTCATTAAAGAAATTATTGCAGCATTTTTCAATATTCTGCTAATAATTCGAAACATATCAAGTTGAAAGAAAACAAAAAATATAATTACACTGTTTTATTAACGAATAATTTACAATAAATTAGAAAACAAGAGTAAATGATCATTTGTTATATAAAGTGAAATAATCATGTACTAAACTATTATTGTACAATTTAGTTAAACGAAAACAAAAACTCATAACAGAGATACGAAAATCTCGCGAAAAATACTTGAAATAATCCTTGAATTACTACACGAAAAATATATGCTTTGTAAAATGTTTTATACGTGAAAAACATCAGATTACGCAAAAAATCATTTAGTCATTTATATTAATCATTGAAAGATATGAAAAAATTCAAGAAATGATTCAGGGGGAAAGTACGCTGGAATTGTATGAATCGATAAATCATCGTGTAACACATTCCACAATATTCGCAAAATGAAATAAATTGGCACGTACGAGATAGCAAGAAAGTATATTTGAACGCGGATAAGAAACGAAAACTCTCTCGTTATAAAAAAAAAAACAGTTTCTCGTGCATCTTGCATCCGTTTCACTGACATCTGTAATACCTAGTCAAAATCTGATCGCATCTTTCGAAAAGAGTCTGTTCGAATTCGAACATATCCTCAAATAATGTCAAACGGAATAAATAAGTATAGATTTTTTGTATATTACATTAGTAATTCTTTGAATTATTACGTATTATTAGACGTACGTTATCGACATTTGATGCCTGTACCGATCGAGCCAATTTACAAGTTCTACTTTACCATAAGCGGCGAGTAGCTTACCGACGCACATATTCGCTACGTTACCGATTTTCGGTCACCTCGTGCGAGATTCAAGTACCGTCGGTACAGATTATAGTCGGTAATAAGAGATCTTCTATATCCTCGGTGCTCTATTTTGTTCATCGAGAGAAGAAAATAACTTCGCGTGCGCACTCACTGCGGCGCCACGCTCGTTTGTGCGCGTTCGAAATGCCCGCTCCGACCGGCCGGCACACGCTGGGTCGCTTTTTCGCGGAGTCTCGCGATATCGCGCGCCGTTCGCCCGCCACGGCATTATCGTCGCGACGTGTGCGCGCTTTTAAAACTTTCCCTCGTTCATCTCCTCGGTCGCGTGCGCGTGTGTCTGTTATGTGGTGACTCGAGTGCTCCAGATTTCCGCGCGAGAAACTCAGGTATATCACGGCACGGATAAGATAATGTACGTGGACTGGCCGGCCTTCCAGGATGTCTCGTCAATGAGAAGGTACGGCGCGCAAGCTGCGCTATTCTCACCTTTATTTTTATTTCCGTATCTTCGGTTTTTCAGCGCTCCCCCAATAAAATGCATTGCAATTCATCCTAGTGAATCAAACGTGCCTTCGATTGATCGTACAATTTTCACTGTGTATTTGGCGATCAAATGTGACTGTCGAATGTGAGGTTATCTTATGAACATGAGAATCAAACGGCTTACATTAGCGCTAAATAAGAATACGAGTCACTCTCTTTTACGTACGCAAATATTGATAATAGATAATGAACACTTTACTGTGTATCAAGCAATTACGGTAACGTTAAAGTCTCTGTATGAAATTTTAATACGTAAGTGACGAGCAATTATCGTGGACTAATTACGTTGAAACTGCGTTGACTGTGTGGATCATGAAGCTTTAGAAAAATAATCATAATAACACCTGTCCACGGGATGTACGCGTGTATTCTCTCATAATCGTTTCTTGCATTACAACTTAGTTTGCATGCAACTTTCCTCGTCGATGAATCAGTTTTATATATTATTTCTGAATCGCGTTCAAGAATGTGTCATAGAATGTTTTGTATTAGATGCCTAAGTATTCCGCTTTTCTTCTGTAAATTTATTTCTAACTCGACTAGTAAAATCAACATTCGCGGTTCCAGAAAACAGCTGGTCGATCGAATTTCTATCGAGTGATCGCGTTTCAAGACAAAACCAGCATTTAAAGAAATTTTGTACAGGGATGCAGCTAGTAATTTTTATTCGATTTAAAATTAACTTAAAAAATGTATTTATCACAATGTAATGCTTATGCTAATACTTATCAGAGTATAATAATTTATATTGAAAGCACAAGCGGGTCATTGTATCATCACATGGAATTTCGCAACTGTTATCTTTAAACTATGATTTATTTTCATTTATAATTAAAGATGGTTTTATAATTAATTGAAAAATTGAAAAAGTTAAATATCTTTAAATGCAACACGAACAACTTTAGTAGTCCGCTTGCGCTTTTGTTTCACATTGGTTCAATCAGTTCGAATCTTGTAAAATTTTATAATTTACATTTCAGTTACATGAAAAATTGATCTAATTTAATGATCTATAACTTTGTATCTTTATCGATCAATTGAAACTTACTTTAACTTTTTCCGCTCGATTTTTGTCCAATTACGGTCAGTGTTGATAAAAAATTTATTTATCAAATAATAACATTTCGAACCAATCCCTTTTGCTGCGTTCCTGTCGTGGAATCATGAATAAGATTCTTTAAGCGTTTATGCGGCGAGCAATGAGCGCGAAACAGTTGCACGCGCGATTTATCGGAAACTCGCTCGCGGACGAGATTATTTTCGCCGTCCTTCGCGCGGAACGAAGGGGATGCTTCGGCGGCCGGCTATTTGGATCGCCCGCGAGACGCCGGACGACGAACTTGCGAGCACCCGTCGCCTTATGTGTTTTGAGTGTGGGCCAAATTTAAATCTTTCTCGCCGTCGAGAGACGGCCGCGGCGCACCGGAGTCGTTAGCCGCCGAGTACGAGCGCGTCGACAAGTTTGCCGTCACCTTTTGTCGAGTCGACTGATTGAAGAATAGTAAATCAAGCCGTCTTCAATGAAACGGATAATCCTTTCATTTAAAATGAATGACATTTCGGTGTTGATATTCTTGTTTTATTAAATATTAATTGTTTTAAATTAATTAGTAAAATTAAACATTTGATTAAAACTTTTGCGAAAGAAAGTTTTCAAAAACAGACTCGCCGTTTCTGCGCGTAGAACAAACCGGCATTTTAGAATTCGTCTATCAGAACTGACCTTCGCAATTGAATTCTATCATAAAAGAGACTCTGAAAAAGTAAAGTTCTATCTTTGGTGTTGTTGTATAATCTTAGAAATGGAATGCATGGAAAAGATAAACGTTAGAGATTTCTCGGTGCAATTTTACGTTCGACGAAACGTTACAAACGAGCAGCGTATCGCGGATGAGAATTCGAGATAGAAGGAGGAACCTATTTCGCTTTTTCACGGCGATTGTTGCTCGCGCGCGTTCTTTTTCTCTCTCTCTCTTTTTTTTCATTCCCGCCGCGGACCCGCCACTGTTTGAACCGGGTGATTGAATATTTGCGTCCTGCTGTCGCGTTCTCTCGGTACCTGCCTGCCTGCCTGCCTGCCTGCCTGCCTGCCTGCCTGCCCTGCGCGCGTGCGAAAACACGCCGGCCGGCGAGACCCGCACCGTGGTCGCGAAGGATGGCTCCGGCTCTCGTCATTTTGCCGTTTTTGCCTCCCTTTTCGCCCCGCTCCGTCAAGCGGGACGTGCCGGCACGCAACGATGCTCGCGCCCGTGATTGGTGCTCCTCGTCGAGGTGCTTACTCGACCCGAAGCCGCGTATCTTGCTCCCAGGATTCGCTCCCGGCGCAATTTCGGCTTGCCCGCCAGCCAGCGACACAAACCGATCGCATCTACGGGGTGTCTTCCGAAACCCAGTGACGCATATTTTATATTCCTGACACGAAGTGACTCGAAAGTCCCGTTTATTCTTTTTGCGATAAATATAACGCTATGCAAATGTATACGTAAGTAAGAAATGCTTAGTCCTCGTGTGCAAAAATATTATGTAGGGAATTTAAATCCAAAAATTATACGAAAAAGATTATGAAAGATTACGTTGATTTATTCAGGACGATTATGGTATTCGAGCAAACTTAACTGGAGCAGCAATAACCTAAATAATCAGAAAAAATTATCTAAGTTGTTATGTGGCGGTAATCTTGGGACACTCTGTACATGAGACATCTTCAAGCTTCGCGTCGCCCGCTCGGATTAAATTGAACTTCTGTGCTCCGCATAGACTTCCACTTTCTGCTAGCGCAATCCCAAAGTTTTTATTATTTCAGTGTTATCTCTAAAATATATTTTTGTACGTGTAACATTCCAATAAATGGGGCTTAATAATAACAGCATTCATCTCGCACGAATTCAATAGAGGATCTTTATAATTT